TATGTTTAATATATATTATATAAATATATAAATATTTCATACAAGTAAATATTTAAACTAAGCATTTTCTCATAGTGGTGTTCCTCCCCCCCCCAATTTCAAGCTATCCCAATCATGGTGCTGAACAGAAATCAAGATGTGGCCTAATCTGAGCCAGAAAAGAGTGTATCAGTAAAATAAAGAAGAGATTATTTAGGTTGTTTAAGTTCTGTCTGGCCATAGGTAAGTTATCTATATGGTAACCAGAGATGGACAAGAGTGAGAAGGTTCTTCCAACATGGCTCTGTAGAAACAGGTCATCTGCCTTTGAGCATGGCAACACCAGAGAATCCTGCCCAGTTTTTAATGTTGTCTGTGTTATCGCTCCTTTGCCACTATGGAGCTAAGAGATGACAAGCCCCCTCCTAAGGCTTGGATCTTCCCAGAATATAGTTCATAAATTCCCTCACTCACATGGCCTGAGCTAAACTGACTAAATTCCTCAAGCTGTTCAGCCCTTAGTGCTGGCATAAGTGGTCTAAGCAGAAACAAGCTGCTGTACCTGTTGTGAGGAGCTGTCTGGTATGCCACAGCCAGTGCTTGCCGTAGGATATCACTCATAAGCTGTTCAGTGGCCTGTGACAAAAGACAACATTAGGATACAGTATTATGAACAGAGGAAAGGAACATGCTATTTGCTCGAGTATCAGTGAAGAGCAGCTAAAATTCTGTCTCACTTCAATCCTGTATTCGATCAGCAGGGGGCAGTTCAAGATGCCCGAGTGAGTTTTACTGGCACAGTAGTTAAGAACTGAGAATATTTAACAGAAAGAAAGTGAGCTATAGATGCACAGAGCTCAGCCTGCAACTACCCAGTCTGGTTTCTATCTGGACCTGCACAGCAGTGTGTGCACAGCAGGGTGGATCCAATGTTCCAGAGCCTGTGCCTCAACGACCATTTTAGGGCCCTGCCTCTCATACACCAGAGCTTGTTTTGTACATGGCAGATCCCAGATATTCTCCTGGGAGCTGGTATATGCTAGTTAGCCACTCCCTGTGGTCACCAGGCCTATGTCAAGACACTTTCACAAAAACCTCCCAGCCTGGACAGCAAGCAGACTGCAGCCGTATGTCCTACACAGTTGGCTTAATCAAGGTTCAATCAAAAGCTAATTAAGGATCTTGGCTTTCTGTGCCTGTATCAAGACTAGAGCAGAGTTTTCTGGGACGTTCAGTCAGGAAAGCTGGCATAACTCTACAATTGTAATGGAGCAATCTGATGGTTACAATCTCTGTCTACAAATGGATGTATCTGTATCTGAGTTCAACTATGATAAGTAACAGAAAGCACAGCAGAAGTGTGCATGCATGTGCATGTGTGACCTGGAATTAATTAGCTTTTGTAAAACTGATCTTCTGATAAGCGGTAGTCTGTATAAACAACCCCCAAAATTGTCTTTGGCTTGAAACACAGCAGAGCACTGCTAAAAATAATCTGTGTTAGCCTTCAGTCCAAACACAAGAACTTTAGTTCCATGCTGTTCAAAGCTTTGGTAAGAAACAGTCTCTGTTTTTCCAAAATTGATTATGATAAATGGTTTCTTGTACAAGGCAGAATTGCTGCTGTCAGCAGGAATTCAGCAGTCTCCCAGTAGAGACAACCCAGGCAGAAAGGAACTGAACAGTATTTAGGAAAAAATAGCTAACCTCTTATAAAATAATCAAGTCTTACAGAACTCTGGCAGATTCCCCCCCCCGAATTCTGAAGGGTAGGACAAAGTAAGGGGTACTTTCAAAGTTACAGAATGAGTCAGTATCTTGCTGGAGGCGAGAATCTGCAAATCACTACTCTGTGTCCAAGCTAACAAATGAGTTAGAAAGCTGGAGACACACCCAGAAGTATATGACACTCTTTAGTCAGCTATAGATCTTTCTATACACGCGCAAAGATGAACATCAGATTCTGCATCTCCTGATTTGATAAATGCATATTAATAAGGATATTAAATCTTTTTTTCCTACATTACTGGGTTAATACAGTCACAGAATAGTTCTTAATGTGAGTAATTTCTTACCTTTAAAATCATATCTTCTATTACCGATGCATAAACATTCTTTTGTACCTCAGCAGGCTGAAAAGAAATCCCTATCTATAAAATATGAGAGAGAAAAAAATTAATACATCAAATAACATAACCTATGTTTTGATACTGATGAGTTAAGAATGAGATAACAGAAACAATCTATTACAAAAGGTAGTTAAAAAACAAGCAAGCAGACACTGCACAACTCTCAGGCTTCATTTAAATAAAAAAATTGGAGAAAATGAAGCTTGACCATTAGAACAGCCTGCAGAAATGCCTCTAAAACACAAAAGAAACAAAAGCAGGTTTTAATTTTTGTTTCAGAAAGTCCACACAAAAAACAGGCTGCACTGGGTATCTCTGGATTGAGAATGGAAGCTCCATTTTAAAACTGTACATACATTCAATCCATCTATTCATAATCTTCCCTGCACCTAACTATGGCAACTGAAACCACTTTGAACAGTACTCCTGGCAGAAAAGTTCCACATCAAAAGAGTGTTTCATCCCCCAGTCACACTCTCATCATGCCTGTGCCCTTGCCACCTATGTAGCAAGAACCGAAGTTTTGTCCCTTGATGGCAGCATTTGAGGTGGAGACAGAGATCCTTTCTTTCTCCCACAGCCTCTGCATGCAAACCCCTGCTG